CGGAAAGACCACTTTTGACGGGAAAAAGTCGGGTTCCGCAACCCTTACGGAGATTCCAATCAATGCACTTTCCTAGCTCAAAAAAGTGTGCCGAATCCAAATCTGCCTTTGATTTTATCACGCGCCTTTTCGTTTTTCTCATAGAAGGCTTGAAAGTCACATGTATCTATTCGCTAAGAAGAAACGCAACAAAAAGCGCATAAATTCGCTGCGTCTACTGAGTCAGTTTTAGATCTAATTTTACAACCCGGATGTTTTTAGAAAGAGCAATTCACGAGGATTCCAAAACTGTCCTCGGATTGTAGTTTCGAGTATATTTGACAAAACTACGGCCGTTTGAAATTTGCATGTCACAAAACACAAAATTCCAAAGTTCCCTTGGGCGGCATAAAAAGCCTCAAGTTGCCCCGCGCTCGCTCAAGGTTCATTTGGGGCCGCAAAGAGTGCTCTTTCGGAGGGAAAAAGAATTAGCTGCCCATAGCTGCCCTTCCGAAGTTTATGGCTCAATTTGTGTGAGCGTGCGTACGAAAAACGGGTCCCGACGCATGTCAATCGCATAGGTCGTCTCAGGGCATGCCCCTCCCGCCTCCGGCCCCCTCCCTTTCCCCTCCCCCTCCCGTTCACTCCCAGTTCCCCCCCTCCCCTCCCCCTCCCCCTCCCCTTGTACAATGATTTTTCAGTGTTGTCGACTTAGGACAGCAAATATGGGTATATTCGAAATCGGGGCGACACAACTGGACCTATGACGCGTTCGGAGTCGATCATTGCTGTAGCTTGGCCTGTAACGTGTCGTTGCCTTGTATTAGAAGTAGAAGAAGTAACGCAATAAAAACTGTTGCCACAATAGGGGGCCTACGCTGTTGATTTAGTAAACTATGCAGTAAATTAATACTATCCGTCCATAGAAAAATCGAAAAATGGCCAGATTTAGAATCAGGATGATGATGATGACCCCCTTAAACCTTGAAAAATTAAGGTCACCCACCTTGAATCACTGAATCTGCCCCTGCAAAGTTCGAAACATGGCTAGATTTAGGATCAGTGACCCTTGAAAACTGATATGGGAAGTTTTGACCCGGTATGCTCGAAAAATAAAATTTACCCCCCTTGTATCACTGGATCTGCCCCAGAAAAATTCAAGAAATGGCCAGATTTGGAATCAGCGACCACCAAAACCTAGGGTACGGAGTTAAAGCGCGGATTGCTCTAAAATTAAAATCTACCCCCTTATATCTCCGGATCCGCCCCTGAAAAGTTCGAAATATGATCAGATTTAGAATCAGCGACCCCAAAAACATAAAATACGGATGAATGATGTTTTTCGGACAAGTAATTCAGTTGTAATGACTTTTTCCCGTCAAAAGTGGTGTTTCCGCCCACTGTGGTTCGTTTGGGCGTTGTGTCACGTTCGTTTGATGTGAAAAAGCTGATTTCTTGCCAATTCACACCCAAACGAATGTGACAAAATGCTCAAATGAACGTAAAATTTTGTCACGTTCGTTTCAACGTGATGTCACGTTCCTCGAATAGAAGTGTCTGAGTGCTGAAACATCGAACACACAACGTGTGGAAGCAAAAGTGTTGATTTTACGCAAAACACGGAATTTCAGCTGAACTTCCAGTCCCTGGGTATTGTAGTAGGGCCACAAATGAAGCTCGATATGGTGTCCAAAGTACATAAGGTGTGTTTTTCTTCCCGAGTGACCATCCGAACGCATCAGCAGCGCATCCGAGTCCGTTTTGCAAATTGCCTAATTTCACCTATTAATCCGAAACTTCCCCCTCAAAGTGGGAACCGAAGATATTGTCCGATCGGAAAAAAAATTTGCAGGTGTGTTTCTGATGTCAAGTGGCCACTTTTGCCAGGTACCCGTTTGCCAGGTAACAGGCAGCCCGGGAGTAGACATAACGGAACCAAATTTTGTCCAGATTATGTTGACATGATTGCCTACAGATTTAAACCTCGTTCGGACGAGAACCCGAGTTCTAACCGAGGTTTCTGGGGAGGTTTTTACAAACTTTATAAAACTTGTTAAAATTTAGAGGTTTTTCCTTTGGTTCTACATAATCCTGGCGAGTCTCTGATTGCCTTCGTGCGTTTCCTGTGAGCTGCCAAGGCCTCCTAGATCACGAAAAAAAATTCACAGTGGTCTTCCAAACAGCCGCTAGAGAGCAACACGACAAAAACCGAAAAAAGTGCGCTTTGTCTCGATTTTCCTTCATGTCTCATATTACCCCGTTCTACGGTACCCGCTACCATCTCGCGCAAGAAGGCCTGTCAAAAAATGGAATCAGTTGGTTCCGATGCACTTCATTTCCATTAATCTAATTCACTTTCACAGGTTTTGATTGTTCATTGTAGCGACAAATCCATCCTTCAGCACTGAATGGAAAAAAAATCATCGGCTTTCATAGGTTTCGGCACGTACATATCCTGTGCTCTTTGCTTTCGCTTACAAAGAACATCCAGTATTCTTTACTTCTGGTGAAAATCCTGTATTCTTTACTTTTGGGTAAATCCTGTATTCTCATACTACTGAAAATCCTCAATTTCTTACTATTTAAGAAAATCCTGTGTTCTTTGCTTATTATTCCAGGCCCTTGAAAAGAGGAGTCAGAAAGCTCTTTCCAAAAGAGTGGTCGCTAGAAATATTTTTACATGTAAAGCAGGTAAAGTACCTATTAAAGGTACCGTAGAACGGGGTAATTTGAGACATGAAGGAAAATCGAGACAAAGCGCACATTTTTCGGTTTTCGTCGTGTTGCTCTCTAGCGGTTGTTCAGAGGACCACCGTGATTTTTTTTCGTGATCTAGGAGGCCGTGACAGCTCACAGGAAACGAACGAAGGCTATCAGAGACTCGCCAGGATTATTTAGAACGAAAGGAAAAACCTTTTCATTTTCACTAGTTTTATAAAGTTATTAAAACCTTCCCAGAAACCTCGGTTAGAACTTGGGTTCTCGTCCGAACGAGGTTTAAATCTGTAGGCAATTGTGTCAAAATAATCAGGACAAAATTTGGTTCCGTAATGTCTACTCTCTGGCTGCCTGTTCCAGATGGAATACAATTTTGTTACCATGCAGGGGAAATAGAGACACCTCTTTTGGTTTGAAATATGGGGCCAAACATACTCCACTGTTATCAATTTCAAGTAATTATGATTTTAACACGAATTGAATTTACTACCTGACCAGGGATGATACCCAAACCGAAACGATACCAGGGCCGTTACGACAACAGTTTGCACATATGACTGAAACTCAAAAAGTGTAGCACCTGGAACCAAGGGAAGAGCTTTTCCTTGTTGATCAAGGCACACCGGAGTTTTGTTTCCATATGAGTCAAGTCCAAATTCCGCTTCCCTGAGTTTTGTTGATTTAGGCCCCAAAAAGAACAAAACTCAGGGAAGCGGAATTTGGACTTGGCCCATGTGGGAACAAAACTCCGGTACGCCTTGATCAACAAGGAGAAGCTCTTCCCTTGGTTCCAGGTGCAACACTTTTTGAGTTTCAGTCATATGTGCAAACTTTTGTCGTAACGGCCCTGGTATCGTTTCGGTTTGGGTATCATCCCTGTACCTGACCGGCATCTATGATCTTCGTTTAGTATTTTCATGTGACAGGCACAACTCATGACTTCTTAGACATTTTTCAGCTCTCTTTAGTGACACCCATTTTTCTGCCCTCTAGATTTTATCTCTTCTTCATTATATTCCCCAATCATCTTTAGGATGAATGAAAAGAACTTAAGGGGGCAATACACTGAAAATGGCCAAAAAGTGACTTGTGCGATTGCTTCCATACGCGTTGTGGAGCGTTGTTCAAACTTTACATGTGTGAAGACCTGACAAAAAGAAGCATTTCAAGCCCAGAATGGCGTCGATCGGACGTAAGGGAGCGGAGTAGCGCCCAATCAAATTTTCGTCAGAAGTCGAACTGGCGGGCGTCCCTTAGTCCGCAAAAAGGAAGATATCTCGACCCCGTTTGCGCCAAAATGTAGGTAATTGAAGCGGCTATAGCATAAACTAGGATTATTAACATCGAGCAACCCAAAGTACAAAATTTCATCCAAAAACACTTTTTGAGGATTTTACAAAAATGATCAAAACAGTTTTTTTTTTCGTAAAATTTTGTACTTTTGATTGTTCGATGTTCATAATCCTAGTTCATGCGATAGCTGCTTTAATTACCTACATTTTGGCGCAAACGGGGTCGAGACATCTTCACTTTTGCGGACTGAGGGACGCCCGCCAGTTCGACTTTTGACGAAAATTTGATTGAGCGCTGCTCCGCTCCTTCACGTCCGATCAACGCCATTCTAGGCTTAAAATGCTTCTTTTTGTAAGGTCTTGACACATAAAAAGTTTGAACAACGTTCCACAACGCGTGTGGAAGCAATCACACAAGTCACTTTTTGGCCATTTTCAGTGTATTGCCCCCTTAAAAGACTCTAAACACGCCTAATTGAGTTAATTTTCCATACTTTTATACCATTTTTCTCTTTTGTCTCATATTACCCCTCATTGCAGGGAAATATGGGACGGCATTCCGAGGCTTATTGCAAGGTCCCTACTGCATCTAAAAATCTGAAATTTGGAGGGAGTGTAGCCAAAGGGTCAATGAACAAGTGATGAACACCTCAGCACCTCAAGTTAAAATTAAAAGGGGGAAATTCACAAAAAACCTCGAAATTTGTCTCATATTACCCCGTTCTACGGTATTGCGATCAATTCTGTATGCAATGTGGGAACACCATCCGTTCAAATTTCACATTTCTGAATTAGAAACAGGGATGACCCAAACCGAAACGATACCAGGGCCGTTACGACAACAGTTTGTTGGCTGAGCGATAGCGAAGCCTGTTACTCCAATGCGGTTGAAAATTTTTGCCTGTCTGTGTGTGTACACTACTCCTCCTGAACGGCTCGGCCGATCTGGCTGAGATTTTGCAGGCTTAAGAGCACACAGAAACACAAGACTACTTTTTAATCATTAATTACCAATAGTACTGAAATCTTCAAAATCAGTCTGCAACACATCAAATTCTGGCAGCTCCAAGTTTTGAGCCATGCCACTTTAATCCATTTGGAGGATACTGGAAGATGGGAGTTCACACTGAAGGAAACTTCTCGAAAACCTTAGATAAAACAAAGCAGAAATTAAAACAATTTGTAAATATAAAGAGGTTAAACTAATAGCCTAAACAAACACAGCACTACACACCTTGATTTGGGTTTTCATCGTGCAAAATAAGAACTTTTGGATGTTCGTAGAGAGGTTGTATCTGAGTTTCAGCACGTTTTTCAGTGAGTGGTGGGTTTTCATCGTGCGAAATAAGAACTTTTGGATGTTCGTAGAGAGGTTGTATCTGAGTTTCAGCAAGTTTTTCAGTGAGTGGTGGAGAGCAACTCACAGCTGGGTGGGGCACAGGATCAAAATCTGGGAGCTGACCCGCAAACTTCTCAGGAACATTTGAAAGTTGAAGGGGCGGGTGCTGAAGTTTATCACTGCAGCTAGCTGTACCAGCTTCAACACGACTTCCTGGTAGACAAAAAACCATATGGTTACATTCCAGAAATAAAGCTTGCCAATTCACTCTTAACAGATGGTCTAAATTTTTATGAAAAGAAAACTTGTGTAGGGTAAACTACACTGTTAAAAAAATTCTGAAAATTCAGACCGAAAGTGTCAGACTTGTCCGTCTGAATTTCGTTTTCAGACTAGAGTCCTAATATTTGGACCGCAGGTCTAAAAATACGGACCTTGTAGTCTGAAAAAAAATTCAGACGCGGCGGTCTGAAAATTCAGACTTAACAAGGTTTAATAATTTGCCCTGCGAGTCTTAAAGTAGAATTCAGTGTCCGGTCTTAATTTTCTGCCCGACTCGTCTGACTCCCGCCCTCTCTCTCTACACACGCTGCCTTAATCGGACTGCCCCGAAGGTAGCACCTTGAGCCCCAGAGTAGCCCTCTTTATAGCGCTCTGGGAGCACCTTGACCAGCTAAGCTAGTAGGCCCGAAAGCGATCTAGTTTGTCTCGGACTTGTTCGGCTGAGTCCGTTCGGCACCGAGCAGGGCCGAGCACCGAGCCGAACCCAGTGCAGCGGCCGCAGGACTGTCCCCGCCGGTGCATTCTCGGAAAGTCCGGCGAGGCAGGGCCAGCAGGGCCGGCTGGAGGCGCCCTCTGATTGGCTCGGCAAGGAGGGGAGCGCTAATCCGTCGGCAACTCGGAATGTTTTGGCCGACCCGGCGCCCTGCACGCAAAACGTCAATCTCCAGCAGTCTTCCAAGGTGCACACATCGCGTGTATTTTGCGTCAGGTCCACTCGCTCGGCGCGCTGAAGTCATGTCGACGGAAAGAAGTGCATTTTAGTTCGAAGTGTTTTCTGCTGATGACCCTTCTTGACGCTGTAGTGACTCTGCGCTCGCTGTACGCATCTCCCGAAACTGAAGGGGCGGGCGGTGAGAGGGCGAGAGGTGTTCTAAGTTATTCGCCTCTCCCCGTTCACACTCGTCCCCAAAGTGCCTTCATCGGATATTAGTTCAAACTTCTGGTTGGACGAATCTGATACGTTCACTTCGTGTGCCCTGGTGCGTGTTGGATCGTGTGCTTGCCACAGTGAGTTAATTGTTACAACCAAGGTTTGAGTTGATTTTGCGATGATAAGCAAAGAAATTTATGGTTATGATGACTCAAGTGACCAAAGTGACTTTCTAAGTTTTTTTCTAAATATTTGTCCAGATATCTCAATTCCTGGATAAAAGTTCCTTTCCATTGCATTTACTCATGCACTAAGAGTTGTACACCACCTTATTTTAGTTTCTGAGTTATGGATGTTTACGTTAACTTTTAGTCGTTTCTCTCAAATTTTCCTCACAACAAAGGATTAGCTACCCAGTCTTCATATTATTGTAATTATATATATTTTTGCAAAGGAAATAGATAGCTTTTTTAAAAAATATCTCCCTTAGTTTTCCTGAAACACCATAAACCAATAATAAGGCAAAATCTTTTAAATTTGAAGAAAAATAAAAGTGGGCCTGATAAGTTAGCTTTTTAAAAGCTAATACAGCCTCTTCTGGACTTGTATTTTCAAATTTGACAACGCTTTCTTTTTCATATGCAAAAATAGATATAATTGCCAGAATCTGAAGGCTGGGTAGCTAATCCTTTGTCGTGAGAAGAATTTGGAGGAAACGACTAAAAGTTTACGTAAACCTCCATAACTCAGAAACTAATTAGAGTTGGAGTCCCCAACTTTGAGAATAAATTTATCTAATAGTGGTGGAATTTTGACCTCAAAATGAACTTCCTGTGACAAATATTTCTAGGACATGCAAGTTTCACTTGACAGTATCCTTAAGGTTACAAAATTGACTTTTACTAGCCACAGCAATTTTCATCCTTCTTAAAGCATTGGTTGGATCAACTTTCATATATTACCTTGCCCGCACTGCGCACAAAGAGGGAGGCGAGGGGTATGGGAGTGAACTGCTGAAAGCAAAGTCAGACCAGGAAGCCCTTTTTTAAGAAATAAGACATCTCAATTTTAAGCTCACCAAATTCCTAAATTTCAGAGTCCAGCGGTCTTAATACCAATTCAGACTAGAGGTCTTAATCCATATTCAGACTTGTGGTCTGAATTCACAGGTCTGAATTTTCAGACCGCATGTTTCTGAAAAAGTTGGTCTGAAAATTAGGAGTGCCTTTTGCGAAATTTTCTTCAGTTCATTTAGTCTGAATTTTCAGAATTTTTTTTTAACAGTGTATACAGTTATCGGCAGGGGTACAGTTATCGTCATCTCGGCGAATAATTGGGTCCTGCTCTGCAAGTACGCGTCCGTTAGTGATGCGGCCAATGCAGGTAGCTAGAGACGCCTTTTGAGCATGCAGGACCGAGACAGCATCGCGTTTGACTGAGCATGTCCGCCAACAGAGCCATGTTTCTTGTCAAGTGCAGAATGAAGCTGCTTCGGCCGCCCGTTCTTATCTTCCACGCTAGGAACAGGGGTTCAATGTTTCGTTAAATTCGTGAATGTGGGCCGGAAAAAACTATTCTCCTTGCCAGGTTCCTTCTCCCCATCTATTGAACAGAGCATTCTGTGCTCGGTGCACAGAAATTCCTCTTGCTTGCCCTCATTCGGGGGGTGCCGATAACTGCACCAGAGAAATCACCCCAAACACAGTTATCGTCAGGGTGGCCTCAAACTTCACTGGTGTTTCGGGCGTCGTCCGGGAGTTAATATTCTGATGCATTATGACCGTAGGAAGACCCCTGCCAAATTTGAATGAAATCGGACCACTATTTCCCAGTGATCTACGTGATTTACGAAATGTCCTCCTCGGCGCTTTGAGAGATTGTTTTTTCGCAGCTCATGGTGCTAGTTGTCCGTGAGTCTAAAATGAAGGGCGCAAGAGGCATAACAGAAGAGAGAGGGGGTTCGTGACTTGTCAAGGGGTGATATAGAGTGTCTGTGACGACTGTTAGAAATTTTCGTCACTTTCGGTCATGTTTTGCCTTTTTAACAAGGGGTGCCGATAACTGTCATAAAGGGTGCCGATTACTGTGTTTTTGGTAACCATTTTCTCAGGTTAAATAAGAGCGTCACAAAAAGTTTTTAGTGAAATCTTTGTCAGCCACTTCGTTGTCTAGATCCTTCTGAAGTGTCTGGAACAAGTCGCACGGGTCTAAGTGTCATAACCTACCCTAGAAGCCCTTGAAAAGAACGCGATGCTCTTAAACTGACGGTAACTGTATAGTTTACCCTACCTTACAGAGGAAGATGCTTCATACCTAGGTGTGAACGTTTTCTTGAACTCGGTTTTGGTGCGACTTTAAAGATTGGGAAAATATCACTGCGGTTTAGGTTTGGAAAAAGATCAATCTCCAAAAATGACTTTTCGTTGGATTTTGGTCTCAAAATCGATGATTGTCTCTTTTATTGTTTATATGAGGAATTCGTAAGGGTTCAGATGTAAAGGTTAGGTTAGGTTTTTACGACATTTTGAAGAACAATTATGTCGTTTTTAAACGACATGTATTTTGTTACGACTCAAGTCGTAAATATACGACTCGAGTCGTAAATTTACGACATATCTGTCGCTAATTTTGATAGCGAGACGTTCCGCTTTGAAACGAATTAAGTCCTAAACTTACGACTTAATCGTATGTTTACGAACGATCGTAATTGATTTATGGAATATGTCGTGCAGTTATGACTTCAGTCGTATATTTACGACTCTTGTCGTAAATTTGTGACATGAATCGTAAATAAACGACACAAATCGTAAAAAAACGAGCAAAATTGTAACTTTTGACCAACTTTTCGGGGATTTCAGATTCCTAAATATTTAATCGCGATTACGACAGTGTCGTAGAAAAACGATTTTTTGGTCGTTCAGTTACGACGAAGTGGTTTGAGAACGATTTCCGTCGCTATCAAAATTAGCGACATTTTCGTCGCTAATTTACGACAAAATTTCTGACAGTGTATGGTAGGGGTGGTCATTCATACATAATTTGAAGTCGTGTTTTTGCACCCATATGTAGTTCGATTTCAGGAATAGTGGGTGGAACAAGTAGAGCCATTCAGAACGCTTTTTTTTTTAGGCACGAAGTAGCCTTATAGTATACCCAGGATTCAGCCGGCCCGAGATTCAATTTGTGTGGCCCTTTATGCATTTCGGGAATTTTCTATACGATTTTAATGAGACTTTGCAGACTTGTAGAACTTTGAACGCTGATTCTCATGCTGAAATCTGGTTAAAAAGTTGGTGGCCAATTTTGAGAAATTTGCTGTCAAAATCGCCGTTTCTATGGCAAAACTCGACTCGTCAAGGGAAAAAAAAGGGAGTGGGGGGAGCCGAGCCGGGGCGGACCAATAGCCGAGCTTCTTTTTGGGTCTGTACAGCTTACTCCAAAAGCAGAAATCAGCACGTTCGAAATGAAAAATTTCTTTGACTGCAGGTAGACAAGATGCAACAATAGAATTGGTGTCGGTTCGAACGCAGTTTTTCGGGTAGAACTATCCAATAATACTTCTTGATTGGAGTGTTTTTGGACATGCGCAGTAGGTTTGGAACCTGTTTAACAGTTTAGCCAACTGTAGCATTTGAAATCTGTATTAATTTTGCTCTCTTTCTTGTTTTTTCTTTGTTTCCTGCTTATGACAATTCATATAAAACAAATTTTCAATTTTTGTGTGATGACTTCCGAAAAAAATATTCACAGAAAATTAGCAAAACAAAAGTTCTTTTTTTCTGACATAAAGTTTCTCAAATATTCCTTTTTTTTCTGTCAATAAAACAATTTTGTTGTTGTTGTGATTCAGTTAGCACTAGGACCACTTCGCTCCACCTCGCGACTTGCAGTGCTCATGTTCCTCGAACAAGACTCACCCGCGTTTCGAAACCATCCCTCCCGAGTTTATGAAGTTTGTCAAACCAACCGTCGTGGTGTTGATACGTTGTAAGGGAGAACTATTACACAGAATTGAAGAAAACATGACTAGAGAACCACAGCCTTTTGAAACAAGCCAAACATTTCAACGTCAGCAACAATGGATGGGCAGTTTTAATGCGCGACTGCTGGTGCTTTCAGCTTCGCGATTTTCGCAAGGGCGCAGACGCCGAGAAACTAGTTGCCAACCCGTGAAAATAAATTTACTGCCTTCTTTCTGCCAAGAACATTTTAATAATGATGGACTTTAAAGATGTTCCATTGTTAGAACACTGCGGAACACATTAGCATTGGAATTTTTTGAATTTACCAGCATTTTGATTTCTATTGTCAAGTTAAAATTTTGACGGGTGGCACATCGACCACATTGGTACCACTGCCATTGGTAGTCCCCTGAGCCACAACTTCACAAAACCTTTTCTTTTCTTTCTCCACACTCTTACACAATAATCAAACTGACTTCGTGACTCCTAGGATTTCTTGAAATCGTATTTTTAAATATTAGACTGATTAGCTCTTATAGGCAACTCCGGAACTCCGGCCATACTTTTTACGCGAAAGTGAATCTTAAATCTTCCTCTACAAAACTCCATACGATCACATACATGCATATGAAGGGCAAGTAGTAGTGTCGTATGTTCGGTTAGGAAGAAACAGGGGCTCAGGGGAAAACTTTGCATTTCAACTGTAGTAAACCGGCGAGCTATGCAGCCATTCGCCAAGTCCAACTCTCATGTTACATGAAAGAAAATTAATCACAAAAGAGCCGTCGACACTAAGGTAGGATATGCACATAGAACTAAGGATTAAAGATGTTAGCTTTGCCCCACTTAAATAAAATTCAAAGATCACGAAGCAACCGGGCAATTGAGGATTATCGTTGTTATTGGATTATCTTCATCTTTCAGAAGAGCTCTTCAGCTTCCACCACTCAAACCCTGCGAAAATAAAAGTGTTCAGAACATACCCAGTCTCCGTGGTGTGACGTTTGTATGTCCGAAATTAGCCCGAAAAGTAACATTTTTTTGTTTTGAGCCCATAGAAACCATATTATTTGACCCAGGTGATTAAAACTTTGACACAGTATGCTCGTAACATAATCAAATCGACAAACAATCACCTCATGAACCGGCCATGTACAGTTTCGGCTTGCCAGTCAAAGTTTTTACGCCTAAAGCGAATTTAAGTAAAAATGGTTAAATTCAAAAGCCACTCTTTCTCCAGAAGTTTGCCCCTGATTCGGCCACCGGGATCAGATGGATTGAAGTTTGGCCGATGCGATGCGCGCAACGGGACAAGCCACCAAGCTGGCCGTCAGATGGGAGTATCATCGCCCTGCTTCCGGGCAGAGATGTCCGTAATTACACCAAGTGTCCGAAATCACCCCGTTTCTCGGAAGCAAGTTTTTTTTTTAGATTTTAATGGA